ACCCTGAAGTACTCTGTATACCCTGTTACAATCACTTTCCATAAAAAGATTTAGGAATTAAAAATTGGTGTTTTTGCCATCCCTCCCTCCAATGAATCATAAGCTGTTTAGTTTTAAACCATCAACAGAATCTCTTTTTTACTGTTATATACAAATGGAAATAATGCAAAACTAGAGTAAAGTGCAACTCAGAAAAGCTTCTAAATAAGTGCTAAATATTTTCGTTCAAAGGAAAAATTCTGTTTGGGTTGGCATTTTTTTGCAGAATCTTTCTTCAGAATTATGATTTTCTTTATGTATTGAGTGCAAATTTAATTGTTTACAATTTAGTAGAAAATCGTATATTTTTTTAGTTAAAAACTTGACTTCATATATTAAATTAAAAATTCCCGCTAAATTTTTTTACAAAATTATATTTTTCTTAATGTTTTGAATGCAAATTAAATTAAAAAATTTTTTTTGGTAAATTTCATAATTTTTCAGACATTTGAGAGATATGAGTTATATTATTTGCGACAATTTTCTGGATGAGAAATAAAGATAAACATTCTTAAAAATAAAGTTATTTTTCAAGAATTTCTTTTATATTTGATTTATGAAGGTGTTTTATATTAAGTTTTTCACTTGAAGGAAGATACAATTTTCTGCTGAATTAATGAATTAAGGCATATGTCATATGTCGCATCTTTGAGATGTTATATCTGTAAATAGTTTTATTTGTCAAGTGTCTTATCAATACAATTTTCGAAAAGGTCATAAGTCGCATCTGTTCAATGTCTAATTAATATTACAATTCTATAGCGAAGTTTGGATTCGCAATCAATTTTTGGCAAAATAAACTAGCATTTCATTTCCAAGAAATATTTTTTTTTTCGGAGCACCCTAGATTTGGGATTTCATCACCTTTTCGAAACACCCTAGATTCCTTTTCCGGGTTTTCAGAGAATGCCGCGTTAACGCGCACCACGTTCATTTTGCCCAGTCACTCCTTTACCGGCACATTGAAAGTAAGGCAGAGGATCGAATTTAAGGAAACCCATGGTTAGTTGATTTTTCTGTTTAATTTAGTTTTGATTTGACGGAAATAATAAGAAACCATGCGAAGCAAAGAATTTATATTTTTCTCGAAGCCTCAGCCTCTCGAACGAAGAGGAAAATCATGAAATTTACAAAAAAATCTGAAATTCTTTTTTTAATTAAATTAGAATTCCAAACATACCTTTAAGATCCGTGGAGTCTTGAAGGAGATCTGAGACGTCCACAAAACAGGCCAAGACACTCAATTTTCCATGAAAGTATAGAGGACGTAAGGTCAAACTCTAATAAAACGCATGAAGTAACTTCCAGTATATATATTTCTTATTACTTATTACTAGAGGGTTTAGAACATCTGTTGATATCAATATCAAATGTGTAGATTCAAAGTACAATGCCCCGTATCCGTTCTATCTCATTCTTGTGGGTCTTGTTTTAAGCGGCTAGACATCGTCTTCCACATCCCCCCCNCGGAGAGTTTGGAGGCTGAAGGCGGAGGCTGAAGGCAGAAGCTGAAGTCAAAGGCTAGCCATAAAAAACTTTGGTTTGAGTTTAAAAGTCACTTTTTCCTCTTTGGCAACGGTGGAGGATTCTGCAACAACTTTTCAAGGTTGTCCTCTACGTCTAGGGGAATCTGAAGGAAGTTGGCGTGGGGGTCTGCCCCGGCGTGGAGGTCCTAGGAGTTCTCTATCAAAGGCGGAGTACCTCTGCTGTGTGGCAGAGAGCTTGGCAAAGAAGAAAGCTAGAGGGCGCCAACCACCTGACTTTTTATGCTGTAGAGCTGCACCAACATGTGTGTTGGAGGCATCAGTGACAAGTGACACTTCGGCGGATGGAGAAGGATGTGTGAGAGAAATGGCGGAGGAAAGGGCGGATTTGGCTTTAACAATGCCGTATTGTAACTCCTGGACCCAGTTTATATCCTGAGGATTTCCAGCTAGGGCATCAGTGAGGGGGCGGAGAGTTCTTGCAATCCCAGGTAAAAAACGGCAGTAAAAGTTTTTCATGCCCAGAAATCTCTGGATACCATGTACATCCTGGGAATGTGGTTGGTGGAGTAGGGCATCTACATGACAACGTAGGGGAACAATGCAATCAGCAGTAATCTTATGTCCCAGGTACTCGATCTTGTTCTGTACAAAACTGCACTTATCCAGGTTTAACACTATTCCGTTCTGAACCAGGAGCTCCAGGACAACCCGGAGATGCTTGATGTGAAGCTTCCTGTTCCAACTTGAAATTAGTACTTCATCCAAGTAGATGAAAACAAAGGGTAATTCTCTAAAGATTCTGTCCATCAACCGTTGGAATGTTTCAGCCGCATTCTTCAGTCCAAAGGACATATATATAAATTCAAACAATCCAAATGGAGTCCCAATAGCAGTTTTACAAATATTGGCCTCACTCATGGGAACCTGATTGTATCCCTTCACTAGTTCGAGTTTGGAGAAAAACTTGCAACCTCTTAAATTGTTTGTGAAATCACAAATGTTAGGGAGAGGATACTGGTCTGGCCTGGTAACATTGTTTAAACAGCGGTAATCGCTGCAAGGACGCCAGGATCCATCAGATTTTTTAACCATATGTAGAGGTGAGGCCCAAGGACTATCAGTCCGACAGATAATCCCCACCGATTCCAATTCAGCCTTAGTGTGGGATAATTTAACTTGATCCAAACGGCAGGGGCGAGCATATAACGGTTGTCCTTCTGTCTCAATCACATGCTCAACATTGTGTTCAGGGAGTTTACTAGGTGTTCGTGGATTCCAGGCTGCAGGGAACTCATCCAAGAGAGAGGCAACATCAGGGGAGAGTTTACACACAGAGGCAGTGGAGGAATCGGCAGGAGAAAACCTAGGCGGTACAAGAGGTTCAAAGGAGGGACCTTGAAGAACTTGGGGGTTGTTGGTGTCAACTAGGAAGTCAACCTCTGCCAGGAAGTCTGCTCCAAGAATAGGTTGGTCCACATCGGTGAGGAGGAACTGGAACTGGAAACGGCGGGAACCAAACTGTAGAGGAATTAATCTGGAACCCCAAGCTTTAGTTTGCCGTCCATCAGCCATTAGGAGGCAGGGGCCTGTCGGGGCAGCTGAGGAACGATGGGGAAACACAGATCTTGAAGCTCCAGTGACCACTAAATAATCACAGTTTGCCAGGGAATCTTGAAGGTACACGAGATAACCGCCGACTGGAAGGCTGTTTAATTTTAACTCCTCCTGTTGGCTCTGGAGTTTCCCTGAAAACTGCAAGGAGGGAGACAATTGTTGGCTGCAGGACCAAAACGTTTGTGGAAATAACACTCAGAGTTTAATGAACTCAAGATGGAATTTAAAGAATTTGAACCGCAGTTTAAATCCGCCAAAATCCGCCAAAACCCGGTTTAAATTAAGCGCTGGCTTAAATCTTGAAACATTTGATACAATTTTAAGTGGAACCAACCATATTTAAACCGCGGCTTAAATTTAAACTGCCGCTCAAATTCTTTAAATTCAGCCACTGGGGTTTGATTTCGGAGGTTTGGCGATGGGCTTCTGCAGTCCTGAGCTCTACCACGTGCTGGGGAAGATGATGAAGTTGTACTAGTAAAAATTAAAATTTGTCAGTTAATAAGTAGAAAATCGGATTTTGAAATTAAATGAATTTGTTCGTTTTTTTTCTAGAAAAAATGCGTGAAAATAAAAGGTTTTTTTCTTAAAAGTTATACTAGATACTAGATACCGGAAACAAGTATTTCAAATCTTAGAAATTTTTTTCAGAAATCTTGGAAAATATGATTTTTTTGTGAATGTAATGAAATTTGATAAAAATGTCTTCAACTTTTTTTTTTGAATTTAGCACATATTTGCTTTGAGTTTGACTTTAAATGTTGAAATTTAAATTAAATTAGTTTGTGGTTCATTAAAAAGAGGAGATAAGGTGTCATATTTAATTATAATTTTAGCTGTCAGTCGTTTTTTGTAGTTTCATTTAATAATACACAGGCTATGAGAAAGGGTGTTGAACTTGACTTTTAAGATAAAGAAATATATAGGGTTTATAAAATCTTAATGTATAGGGTAGGGTACAGGTAGGATAGGCAACGTTCCGTTAACAAATTTCAAAAAAAGTTTTTAAAAAACAAATGAGGTTTGGCATAAAGAATGGCAAACACCGTTAACTTTGAAATCGTTAACAAACAATAATAGTAATGTATAAAAAGACAGAAATAAAAAAAGAAAAAATGTGTTTTAAAATTAGAAATAACGGAGTTATTCGTTTTTTTTTGCTTTTAGCTCAGCTTAGCTGACTGATTTCTAAAATATATTCGTTTGACGTTGTTAATAAGATTGAGATCGTTAACGAATGGTAACTTTCTGAAAGATTGGAAATTATTGTTAACTGAAGGGAACGTTTAGTTCTTTACTAAGAAGGAAAGGATATTTTAAAAGTTGGTATTTTGAACAATTTTAGCTAACCATGAACTAAATTAAACTTTACAACATAAAAACAACATATCAGCATTTTGCTGTTTTCATAAAATAGATTTAATAAAATTATGACTTTTGAAATCAGGTTTTAGAGTGCTACTTCAAAATAAAGACGATCTTGTATTCGTTACTTAATCATCTCTTTAATGGGAACCTAGTACCACAGTCTATAGCCAGCTTCTAGAAAGCTTACATAAAATTCAAGTTAATTTTTACATACATTTATTGGGTTTAAATTACTGTGTATAATATAATAATTTTATTATGTATTTAGGCTTTACTAGAATCATAATGTGGAATCTTATTTTGTTCATTAAAAAGTGTAAGGTTTGGGACGAAAAAGGTGACACTAATTCCAATTTGAAAGTTCACCTTTTGTAGAAAATAAGAATACTCAAAATTGTAAGTTTTTAACAAGTTTATTAATTTTCATTTTCTGCATCGGAATCTGATTACCTCGATAACCTCAGGACCTAGAAAATCAATGATTAATTTTTGTTTCATTTAATGTTTTTGCAAGTTTCTAATCTATTCAGATGTCTTCTATAAAAGCTAACTATGTTAAATACTTATTATGTATGTTATGTTTTAAATACCGAAACTAAAACTAAGGGCTGTAAGCATGCAATGCATCTCTTTTTTTAAAGTCGTTGATATTCTAACCTAAGTTTTTGCAGAAATACTATGCTTGTTTAGATTTATGAATGCTCAAAATTACAAAAATTTGTACTCAGCCAAAACAAAATTGTTACAAAATAATTTTTTTTTAATTTATAGATTATTCGCCTAGAAATTTAGTTCAGAAAATAACTGATCAAACCTTGTTCATTTTTGGCCTGAACATACAGAAACACAGAATAGTATTATACAGCGTTTACAGTTAGAGAGTTTGAATATGAATTATCACAGTTTTGTTTTATGTTTTTCTTCCTTTCGATAAGGTAGACAATATTTGAATTTTAGTTTTTTATCATAAATTGTTTTCTGAATATCTATTTTCTAGTGTCTGTTATGATTGATGCGGATTGCGATGTGGGTTTTTATTCAATGTTTGGGAAAGGCAGATAAACTCTTTAACGAAGTTTTCATATATTTTTCAACTTTTTTTCTAATTACTTACAATCAATACAAGAAGATATCTGAAAAATATGCGACAACCAGATGATGTTCTAAAGTTTTTTTTTGAAGATTCCAAAAAATGCTTTTACCAAACTCAAAACTCAGAGATAAAAATGAGTGAAGTATAATGAGAGCGACAGCGCACTAACAACTAACAAGCTAGATTTATTTATCTTTTAGAATTAATAGATCGTCAGATGTCCATTTCTTAATTCATCTAAAGATATCATGCTTACAAGCATTTTAAGGCAATAATTTCCAGCAGGTATTAAAAAAATAAGCTTTACCCCAAAATTATGGAAAGGGGATTGAATTAGGTTTTTAACATTTATTATCCACAATATCAAAATCCTTAAAATTATAATTTGGAGAAAAAATATTTAAGATATTGTGGCTTTTCTAACAATTTATCAAAAGAATGTATACTTATAATTTAATCGTAGAAGTCAATAAACTGATTTAAGAGTGTATAGTTCCTGAAAATGTTTGATGAATATATATATATATATATATACATAGACATTGTGATTGTGCAGACAGAACAGCTTCATTCATGCGCTAAATGCAGTTTTTCTTTCCCGCTAATTGCAACGTGGCAAGTGGCTGGAGTCTGCGTAGTGCGTACACAATATATTGTACCTCACCCGGTTTTCAAACAATTTACTTTTTCTCCTCCTGCTTTGAATGCAGAAATTTCGCAGTTCTAATTAAAAAATGTTTATATTACTTGACAATGTAAAAAACTTAAATGTGTTTCAATATTTTTAATATCTTTTTTTATATATTTTTATATCTTTACCCTATTCCTGCTGGGGGGGGGGGGTCAATTTCGACCCCCCCCCTGTGGTTTTTTTTACATAACTCAAAAAGTATTGGTCTGAGGCTGTTGAAATTTTCTAACTTTTCTTACATACCCAAAGCCCTCCCTTTAGGCCTAAAACCGGGCTTTAATACTAACTGCCTGAGTCCTAAGGCACACTGCCTGAATGACTGTTTTTTCCTGTAACAAACTAAATCTTTGTTTTGACCCTTTTTCACTTGTCAGATTTTGATAAAATTTAGCTTTTTGGAAAGCCTATGATATAAGGAAACGGATTGCACAAGTTTTGCGAAAAAAAATTGCAAATGTTTTGCAAACAACCTGTCAAAGGAAATTTGCACATTTTTAGTTTTTCTTGATTAAAAATCAGGTTATTTAAAATTTTGCAAAATTTTTTGCATATTTGAAATGGCATGGTCAAGGGCTTTTCAAAAATGTATAATTTTTCATTTTTTTACAAATTTTTTTTGCAAACATTTTTACTATATAACTGGATTTTGCGATAAAAAATTCAATTTTCGCAAATTTGCAAATTTTTTTGAAGATTTCAAAAGAAGAGCCCAAGAGCTTTCCAATGATGTATCATTTGTCATATTTGGACATAAAACATGGGATTTAGAGGGGGGGGGGTCACTTGACCCCCCCCCCTCCAGTATATCCTGGTTTTTAAGTACCCCAGCAGAGATAGGATTAAAAAACTGACGATTATTGAAACTGTGAACGGCGAACACTTTCACTTTCCTCCTTTTTCTTTCATCTTATCTCCTTTTTTTCTTTCTTTCATTCTTTCTTTCTTCTTGAAAATAATGCAATTGGAAAGTACGGCTTACGTCTGTCTATTTGAAAAACTTTTTCAATTATGTGACTTACTGGTAAGTTTCATTAAGGTAAAATATTGTTTTGATATTTTGAAAAATATCTAAACTTAACGTACTAATGTACGCTCTGTGAACTTTACTACTGACAATTTATTTACAAGATTATGTTTTGGAAAAAATTAAAGCTTACTGTGTTCTGTAAATCTTTCTATCAGCCGCTTGTCTTTCTTGAGCCGTCCTTAAATACATGTATTACTTAACACTTTGAATAATAAAAAAGTATATTCACTTAATAAAAGACAAAAGGTAAAATAAATGTAAATAAATACAGTATTTGTAGACTTGTAATTGCCTTTTAAATGTAAATTAACAATTTATTTTTACAGTTTCCCACTCATTCAATATTATTCTAAAATGTTTTGACAAAGAGAATAGAATATATTAGAGTTGAATTTACTAGAAAAAAGTGTAAAACGGCCATTTTGTTGTACTGTTTCCATACTGCAGGTGTACTTCACATATTTTTGCTATATAACCTTTTTGGCCCTGGAATATCATTTTATGGAAAATCTAAAATTAATATTAAAAGAAAACCAAATTATGAAATAGGCTGGTTTCATAATTGACCAATGATCATTTCACATAGACTCTATACCTTTCACTTTACAAACGATGATTTTCCGTTATAACTATAAATCAAATGATGTTTTTTATTCACCTAACTAATTTTATAAAGTTTATTTAATAGCTTTAAAAAATTTGCAATTGAAATGGAAAGTCTAGGGAACATACTGTATTAATGTACTCTACTGCATATAATTTGTGAACATTTATATGGTTTGTACACTTTGAACTCCCTTTCAGGCTGAAATGGACTGACAAAATTCATACCGAGGGATTTTCTAAATTTAATATATATTCTATTCTCTTTGTGTTTTAATCTGGATAGTTAATTCTTACTTCTGTTTCTCTTCACTTGCTTGAGAAAATGTCGTAGAGTTTTGATGAATCAGTTGTGACTGGTTGCACCCTATGTAATTCATGCTTAAAATTTCAAAATATTAGATTCTTTTAAAAAGTTGTTAAACATTTCAAATTCATCACCATGATTGTAATCGAACAATTTATTTTCGGAAAAATTACTATAAATGTAGTAAACACCTACTCCATAACAAATTCTTGAAACGTATCTATCCAGTCACATTATCTGTTCTACGAATTATAGATGTCATATTCATAGAGAGGTTGCATGACTTAACTTCCAGGATTTGGCTTTCACTCGTTAATATCTCTCGTGTTTTTCAAATTTTCTTCAGTTGAATATAAATTGTGAAAGAGTAATAGCTTGAAAAAAAATTAGGTGAGGAAATTTATATTATTTTTAACCAAATATTTTCTTTCCTTAGTGCATTAAATATACTGAAGTATTTTAACTTACAGCAATAAAGGGACCGTTCCCTCTTTTTATTTAAAGGGACCAGTTCAAGAGTCAACATTCATTAACTTCTTAGATGGAGTTATTTGTATTGTTTGGCTAAATGTACATTGTTCATCCATTTAATTGGGGCATGTTACATTGTTACATTTTGAACAATTGTTGAAAGAACCTTGATGTTATAGTTTCTTCTTTGGAGTTATTAGCTTGTAAGGTTTCCTCTTCATTTAGGCATAAGTCACTGCTACAGTTTGAGGTATTGTCATAAATCTTAATTTTTTATTAAATTATTCTTGTATTTAGAATAGTTTTCTGTTTGTTTACTGTATGTCTACTGGATGACATAAAATAAATCTAAGGGAGGGTTTATGTCCCAGAACAATTTTAAATTTTGGCAATTTATAAGTTTAAAATTATAGATTTCAAAATTTGAGAAACTTTAATTTTCAGTCCCTTTGGGGGTTGTCAAACTAACTATGGATTTCGCAACTCAGTTGGAAGTATGACCTGAAGATGATTTACCACTCTTATGAAGATGTGTGTGCCCCAAAGATAATATATATATATATATATGCAGGCAGGTATAAATTTTGAGGTCTTGAGAAAAGGTGCAAACAGCACCATCTCTGTCGTACGCATGGCATTTTATCCTCTGGATTGTTGCTAATTTATCACTTTGTTTATGCGTGATAACACTAAATGCGTACTATAGTAACAATGAATACTGCATATTGTACTTTATGAAACAAGTTAATCAATGCAAATAAAACTGAGGTAGGAATTTGACTAGACAAAGTTAAAATGTGCAAGTTGTACTGAATGGCATACGTAAATTAACGCAATTTAAATAAAAATTATGACTATAAAAGTACATCGAATCTAGGACAAAGTACAAATGATCTGATCATAACATAAACAAAACGCGTACTGTATGTTTGTGTTACCTTGAAATTTAATTTTATTGGTCAAACAGGTCCAGATAGCAACACTTGAACTATACAGGATGCAATGCGCGTACTGTATGTTTATATAACACAAATGCGTATTTCCTACAGATGGCAGCAAGGGGAGAAAGAAATATAGAAAGTAATCAATTTGCTATAGATGTCTCTCCTTGCACTTTATCTCAGAGGTTCAAAAATTAGTTGTCTGCTACAAGCAATTTATAGGAAGGAGGTTTCTACCTGCCTGCATATCTATATATATATTATCTTTGGTGTGCCCTCCATGTGCCAGCCCCATAGCCCCCCTTAATACGCCTCTGGATAGCATAGATGTGTTTAAGAAGTTTACAAACATATTTCGGAATGGAGTGAGATTTGAAAAAACAGAACTAAGTAGTTTTAAAGATAAATTCGTATAGAATTAGAAGTGCCAGGCAAAATCAATGAATTGATTAAGCGACTATATAGTTGTTGACCCTAAACAACAAACACCCATTGTAAAGTCGTCTTTGACAGCCACAGCCAAACCAAACAATTTCAAGTCCCCCCTCCTCTCTCCCAGATTTCATAAACACACCTCACATGTTGTGAATCTATCTTCAAAAGTTAAACAAAGAAAATTTCATTTAAAAAACAGTGATTTCATTCATAATTAATTGTCATCTTATTTCAGAAGTTAAAAACGTCTTTAGTACGGTTTGTACCCTAATTTGTACCCACATTTCCTGTTCTAGATCGTAAGGTTTATTACAAACATTATTTTCATTATTTATACCAAATATAATTAAATGTAATTTTTCAGGAAATAAAGAGATTTTCATTATTATCGATTTCTGGAAGCGTGGTTTGTTTTGATATATTCGAGAAACAATTTCTTTGCGGCTTACAATAGTATTACATATAAACTATACACACAAACATACCAAATTTTTAGATTTTTAATTATGAAAATTTCGAAGATCTCACTGAAGACGACATTTACATGAGTCCCTAGGTTATTTTTTCTCGTCTTTACTTTCCAAAAGAAATCTTTTCATGCAATTATTTCCAAACCAAATAAAACATTATGGCCCAACCTGTCGTTGTTGCACCTTAGTCTGTTCCAAAACTCATTGTGAACGAAATAACCGTAATTTGTAAAAAGTTAATTTAATATAATTAATCACTATCTCGGGTTGTACTTTACATACAGGGTGTCCCAAGAAACATGACAGTATGCAAGAGGACTTGAATGTCGTCTTGATTTTTGATATAATTTGCTGTGTTTATTTGTCAACCTAATTTTAGAAGTAAATTTCTAGAGATAATAATCACAAAATTCCCCTTGTCCTACCATTCCCAAAATGTGGTCTGCCTTTTTTGTGCTTTCAATATTGCCCGACATAGAAAGAATTTCGTTCAGATTTCGACAATTTTGCTTTTATTTAACAAAATGGAAATCTGAACCAAACTCTTTCTTTCTCCGGTAATATTGAAAGCACAAAAAACGCAGACCACTTTTTGGAAATGCCATGCAGGGCTAGGAGAATTATGCGATAATTGTTTCAAGAATCATACATGTTAAAGTAGATAGAAGACTAAATGTCACAAATAAATTCATATATCAAAGACGACTTTCAAGTCGTCTTGCTATTGTCATGTTTCGTGGGACACCCTGTATGTACAAATTTTGCTTGGTGATTTTTTAAAAAATAACAAATTTGGACGGGTTTATGAGTTGCAAAACCTGTTTCTGATGAGGTTAAGCAATTCTGGCTCTTCGAAGAACTGCTTTCACTCAATATTTCTTGCTCACAAAGATCTTCAGGAATCTGAAAATCATACATTCAAATGTCGTCTTTTAACATTTTAAATTTAGTTTCGGCAATATTATTTTGGTCCTTCGCAATTTCCGTCCTACGAAACTTCATACCTACTGCAATATCCGAGCTATGGCCTATGTACATTGTACAAGTCGGATGTATGTCCATTTATTTCATAAAGCTGTTCTACGCATTCAAAAAAGTTTTTAAAATTAATCCAAAGACACTAAATATTTTCTGAGGCATAGTCTTCTTTTAGGCTTAATTTAAGCACATTCAGACTAGGTAAGTCGATGCACACATTTTGCAAGTCGGATGCACACTTTTCGAAGATTGGATGGATGATTTAAAGAGGAAGGATGTTTTTTATTTATTCTTTATATTGTACGAGGTATGATTAATAAGTTAAAAACTTTCTAGAAGCTCTGATTTTTAAAAAGGTTTTCAGGCAATCGAAAACAGCATAGTTATCCCAGTACTAAATTCTGCCGTGGTTTGGTACATAACACCATTTATAAAAAAAAAGTCAGAATTAAACAGGCCGATTAAAGTTTGTTAATCTACATTAACTTAATTTTAATGTTATGTTCAAAGATGCTCCCAAAGATTAATAGATCAGTTAAACAATTTGTGTATCAATTTAGGTTGATTTCTTTCTTATAGTATGGGTTTCCAACGTAATAGCTTATTCACTTACGCGAAATTATGTGCAGTTACGCAAAGTAATTTTCATTTCGTGTAATTTTGCGTAATCGGTGAAACTTCAATTTCGCGAAATTACTGCGTAATTTCGTGTAATTTCTACTACGATATTTTGCGAAATTTTGTAATAATTACGCGTAATTAGCGAAACTTCGATTTTGCGAAATTATGCCGTAATTTCGCGTAATTTCTACAAAAGTAATTTCGCGAAAGTTTGAAATGAGTATGCCTAATTAGCGAAACCTCCACACAAACCAGCCTACAGGAGAACATTTTAACCTTCTTGGACATGAACTCTACCATCTAAAAGTTAGCGTACTAGAGAAGGTTTGAGACCTTATGAGAAGTTTAGTTTTAGTCTTTAAGTACGACAATCTAAATACATCAGAGATTTACATAAAAGTTTGTTAATTAGATCGACCCCGGCACCACTTTAAATACTATACATATAAACTAGTTTGTTTTTAATCTTCATTCGACTGAAACAATCTCAAGGAATAATAAATTTCTTAAAACATTCTTTAAAAAGTAAATATTTGAAAATTATCTTTTTTCCATCTCATAATCTGAGTTCGTTTCCCTTTTGTCCATTTGACAGCCCATTTAAATATTTTCAAAATAATCTTTTTTTGTTTGTTTATTTTCTTGTGGGGATTAACATCGATTTTGAAGGTTATTATATCGTTAGAACTGACACGGGTCAACCTAGACCGAAAAATGGAATAAAATGTGGAACTAACATCTACCTTTTTTACTCTGTACAGAGGTTTGGTCCATCACCATCACCGAATTTTAATTCAATTTGAAAGTATTTAAATTATCCAATCAGATTGGACATGGTTGTATCACAAATATCCTTACATATATTTTCCCGCTATATTCATTTCTGATGATTAAGATGTACTTTACTAATTACTAGTATACGTAATTAGCACGTAATAAGTGAAAGAAAGTGTTACGCGTCATTACATGTAACGTAATTACGACTGGAAACCCTCGATACAATTCATTTAGTTACATTGAATTTCCTAAGAATAGCCAGTCTACAAAAAAGGTTGAAAAACTACAAAAGTTTTCATCCGAAGAACAAAATGTGTGCCTCCGAACTACAAAAGTGTTTACCCGAAGAACAAAATGTCTGCATCCGCTACAAAAGTGTGCAACCGAAGAACAAAATGTCTGCATCCGCTACAAAAGTGTGCAACCGAAGAACAAAATGATATTTGAATTTATTTGTGACATTTAGTCTTCTATCTACTTTAATATGTATGATTCTTGAAACAATTATCACATAATTCTCCTAGCCCTGGCATTTCCAAAAAGTGGTCTGCGTTTTTTGTGCTTTCAATATTACCGGAGATATCAAGAGTTTGGTTCAGATTTCAATTTTGTTAAATAAAAGAAAAATTGTCGAAATCTGAACGTAATTGTTCATATCTCGGACAATATTGAAAGCACAAAAAAGGCAGACCACATTTTTGAAATGGTAGGACTAGGGGATTTTTGTGATTATTATCTCTAGAAATTTACTTCTAAAATTAGGTTGACAAATAAATGCAGCAAATTATATCAAAAATCAAGACGATATTCAAGTCGTCTTGCATACTGTCATGTTTCGTGGAACACCCTGTACAAAAATTGTGCATCTGTCAAACAAAATGTGTATCCTACCTACAGAATGTGTGCATCCGACCTATACAAACTGTGTGTTTCCTACCTACAAGAAGTGTTCATCCGTAATAAAAAATAGGTAAAGCCGATCTACACAAGTGGGCATCGAACCTACAAAATGTGCGCATCCGATCTACTCAATTTTTTAATCCCACCCGTACAAAATGTGTGCTTTCGACTAACTGAAAATTGCGCATCCGACCATAAGTCGGACACTCATTTTTCTTTAAATAAGTGGTTTTTTTTTAACTAGAGTTGATCGGACCAACAGAACTAACCAACATTATGCAAACGGGATTTTATTTGTCCTTCCCTATTAACCGGAAACCCTATAAATATGTTTGACATTCATATATATATATATACGTGTTTTAAGTTTGGAATATGTATGACATTTGTATTTTTTGTAACCAGTTCCTTGGTAAAAATACGTAATTTATATCCGTAAAAATGCGCATGTAAAAAAAAATTTAAAACCCAATGAATCATAGATTTTTAGGTTTAGGTTTTAAAAATCCTAACATTTCTTAAAATTTAAAGATTTTACCTATACGTAAAACTACGTATTTTTAAGGCATATTCAAGTTCTAAAACCAAAATGTTAAGAACTTGACATGCACATTGTTCCTTTATATCTATCAACTAGTTCCACAAATTTCTTAAATCTATATTCATAGATATCAATTAGTTCAATCCAATCCAATCCAATATTCTGTATACACAAATTCACACCATCTTCATTCCTTTATCTGATTGCATCTAAGTAGAACTTCTATTTATCAAAAAAATCGAGAATTTACTGACAAACACATCAATTTACTCCAAAATGATAGCAATTTTGAAACATTTTATTTACCAAAATGTTTGGTTTAAATTTCTTACATAACAATTCTCTTAAAAAGATCATAAAATATTTTTAAATTATCAATTAAAAATGCATTTTTCTGCAGTTGAGGTTTTGTGAATATATTACTTGGTATGAAATTTACGAAAATATACGTATTTTTAAGTTTGTTTCAAACTTAATAAACTCTAAAAAAAATTAAGTAAAAGAAAACCCCAAAAAATACTTTAAAATACGTAAAATAAAACCTATAAACTTAGAAAAATTACTTGTATGAAATTTACAAAAAAATAAGTATTTTTTGGTTTGCATCAAACTTGTAAACTCTAAAAGAAACAATTTTTCAAATAAAGAAAAAAGCGAAAAAAGCGTAAAAATACGTAAAATACAAACCTAAAGAACTTAAAAAACTAACTTGGTAAAAAGTATACGCAATTATTCATTAAAATACGTTTCTGGAAAAACTAAGCACTTAAAAAATCCCGCTTGTTATAAGAAAAAAACATAATAATACCTAATTATACGCAAGTTCTTTAGCTTACAAAGTTTTACGTAAGTTAAGTACCTTAACATATGTATACCAATGTAGAGGCTCAATTGATTCGGTAAAAAAAGACGTGAATTTTATGCAGATCACTCAAATGAGAATTAATGATAGGTTATTTGTTATTAACAAATATTTATCTATGTTTTTAAATTTACTTATTCCTTTAATTTCTTTATTCATTAGAAATTAAATTTTATTTACTAACCTCTGCATAAATGTAGAAATAAGCAAAGAATATATATAGAACAGAAACTATAAATGCTGGAATAGGAACAGCTGTAGAGTACAATAGATGGTTGTATACCTTTAAGACAAACAAATTTGATGAATAAGGTTAACTAAAGGTGGTGCGTTTATTTACTGAAATTTGAACGTTTCTTGGAATAGGCAAGCAGAGAACAAGTTTTTATTGAAGCTCAACAATTAAAAAGTTTTCGGCTAGCTTTAGATTTTTAATCAACCTCTGCCCTTTTTTTGTTAATTTTGTTCTTAATCATAGCGTTTTTGTCATCATATGCATTTTCAAAGTTTTGAATAAACCCTGTCCTGGGTGAGGGTAACGCACATGTGGGCGCATGCAAAAACGTCCAGCCTTTAAGAAAGTGTTTGCGAAAAATTAAAGGGGGGTTAGACTGAATCCTAATAAAACTCGAATTTGATTGCTACTAAGTTTACTTCTATATGTTGCTGCTATATAAAGACTAAATGGTTGAAAACACTTAATACCCAAGAGCATGTAAATGCACTTAGTTGAATTGTTCCACGAAAATCAGTAATTTAGAGCACGTAAATGCACTGACTTGCATTGTTCCACAAAAATCGTTAATTTTTAGTAAACTTTTAAACTGATTCTTCAAATATTACAATATGTAAATTCTGGATTTGATTTAAATTAAACGGTATAGACGCAATAGATAGAAGTAAATTTAGTAGGCGTATCTGGATATGAGTAGGAATTAGCCTTAAATTTTTCGCGAACGTTTTACATGTGGATCCCTAGCATCCATGGGATAATGTTTATTAAAAACTTCGAAAATAATCATGATCTTTGCAATGTACGTTTTACCTCTTGCAGATCTAGGCTAGTAATAACTAAACTCGGTTCCAGTTGTGAATAGAAACAAGGAAAATAATCATGATCTTTGCAATGTACGTTTTACCTCTTGCAGATCTAGGCTAGTAATAACTAAACTCGGTTCCAGTTGTGAATAGAAACAAGGAAAAACTTTCCCAGTTTCTCCGAACTTTTCAGCAAATTCTCCACAAACAACTCTAAAAATATACAAATTGTTTTAAAATTTTATTTTTTTAAATTTTTAAATATATAAAATTGAAATTTTAATTTTTAATTTATTTTTTTAAATATTGAAATTTTATTTAAAACACTAATTCTCTTTCCTTTTATACGTAATAAAATATGCTGAATTCATTTTATTATACAGAGAAAAGAATAAACAATAGACAAAAGACAGATTTAATAAATAAAATGATCAAATTCTTATAATTCACAGAATACAGCTCTTGTGATATATTAGCGCAAAGTTAAAACTGCCTTTCTTTCCTATTTCACTTCAAGGTCGCCAATTCTGACTGTGGTTTAATGACGATTCACGACTGCTGAATCCAAACAGAACTCCTTCTTTGCTGCCAACCTGTTCTTCCCGCTTTTTCTTGAGTTCTTAGCCCGGGGCAAATCAATATGTTCATAATTTTCATCATTTTACAGGAAATTCTCAAATTAGATAATTCATAATTTTACTAATTGTAAATGTTAAAACTATTTATTTTAAGCTATTCTTACAAGGTTCTTGTAGAGACAAATACTTCAATTTGCGGTAGTGTCAGTTTCCCTGGAAGTTTGGAGGTAGAAAAATGATGAACTCATCAGAATTTTAACAAAGAGAGTATTTCTTTATATTTACCAACTCTTTTGTTATTTCCCAGTACATTAAATCTCCTATTGTCAATAAATACAGGTTTAGCTTTGTAACCCAACACCGTAGACCTTAGATATTTCAAGCTATGAATTCTATGAGATGAAGAAATCTAAGTTTGAAATATCAAAGGTTTCAGGTGGAAAAAATATAGGTATTAGAAAATCAGAGTTTTTTTTTACAAAGACTGAATTTCTTTCGATTTTAGCAATGTTTATTTAAGCGCTGAGAAAACATATGAATAAACATAGGGCAAATTGTATTTTGTAAACTGTAAATTTTACAGCGATATTCAGTCAGTATAATACTTCCATTTGCCATCATTTATGAAATTTATTATAATCTATACTCTTAAATTAAACTTACTTTGGAGGATAACCACATCCTTTTACATTTGGAAATAATCTTCCAGTTACTAAATCCTAAAAATTATAAATAATTCAAGATTCTACATATGCTATTTAATCAAATGTTTTAAAAAGATTGGTTTAAACATCTGCAGATATGGTTGAGATATTCGCTTGGTTAATAATTATGAGATCATGAAAAAGAAACAGTAATTAGTCCAAACCCGAGAGTTTATTCTGCCAAAACTGGGTTTCTTACAGTGTATTTGATGCAGTCCTTATGACATTAATTAATGCTTTTGGAGAATGCTATAAATTAACAAATATTTTCTTAGTTTTATAAACTGACAGTGTCCTGTGTCCATCTGATTTTTGTAAGTGCCCCCAAAAAAGGCAAGGATCATTTTGAATACAAAATACGCTGAGAATAAAGCGTAAACTAGCTATGTCCAGTAATCGTTGATAATGCATCTTCTTAATTAATTGTGCTAGCAAAAATCTAACCTTTGATGGTAGCAGTTGTAAACTCTTTGAAACTTCATGAGCAGGTTGGCGTTCATACCAAACTTCAATCTAGTTTTTTTAATTAGAAACGCATGTGCCGTGCATGCAGCATGTGCTAAATGGTATAATGGGGGGATTTTATATGTTTTCAGATATTCCATGAAAATTCTTTAGGAAAATGTAGAGTAAATATGATCCAAGGAATTATAATAAGAATTTAGATAATTTTTTACAATTCATTTTTTTCTAATTTTCCAAAAAATATTTCCATTCTTCATTCTTCGTATAGTGTATTCTTTCTTCAGAGCCATGTATCAGTTCTTAAATCTGTTTTTTCTAATAACTGGAAAGGGATCTTTTGTAGCCACACTTGGGGCCTAATGTAATATATATGTCGTCATTTGTTCACTTATAAAAAGCGAGGAAAAGGACTTTTGCTCATTTTCTGCCTTATAAAAAACGAGCAATGGGCCTTTTGCTCGTTTTCTACTTTATAAAAAGCAAGCAAAAGGGCTTTTGCTCGTTTTCTGCCTTATAAAAAGCGAACAAAAGGCCTAATGCTTGTTTTCTGCTTTATAAAATGCGATTAATTCTTGATTATACAAAGATATTTCATTAATCCTTGATTGTACAAAAATATCTCATTAATCCTTGATTATACAAAGATATCTCATCAATCCTTGATTATACAAAGGTATCTCATTAATCCTTGATTATACTTTGATTATACAAAGATATCTCATTAATTCTTGATTATACAAAGATATCTTATTAATCCTTGATCATACAAAGATATCTCATTAATCCTTGATTATACAAAGATATCTCTTTAATCCTTGATTATACAAAGATATCTCATTAATTCTTGATTATCTTGATTCATCTTAATATCATCATGTTAATCTTCTATTGGTTCTCAGTTCATTCACAGATAGATGTCTCAAGTCTGACCTTTGTAACAGTAAATGACAATTTTAGTATAAAATAGTTTTTGGTGCATAAGATATGTTTTTACTCTTCATGAACTCTAGGTATTTTATTTTTTTATTGTCAGGGACAAAACTAGACTCAAGCTATTCCTCCTTGCAGATTTTTGCGAAGGCTGTAAAAACAAGTTTAACCGTCACATTTTAAAATTGATGGTTTCTATGAACTCCATGTTACCTGCCAGCAAGTAAAAATTTCTTTTGTACATCCTTCACTACAAGATGTCCAAGTGCAGTTATGTTTTCCTAAAAGTATGTACAGGGTGTTTTTGATTCTGTAATATATGAAAACGCCATTATTAAAAATATTCTTAATTTAAAAAAGTTCTGAGTAGCTTATTTATATAGTGGTCGTTTTATAATCCGTAAAAAAATTCTTGGAAATAAAAACATTTAAATCTGCAATTTCATAGCTTATGTCTCAATTCATACTTTCACCAAAAATCATGTTTTCTGAATGGGCGGGCCGGAAGTAAAGACGACCTAGGCCTTGTCATAGAGAGGGTTTCCTGATCGGTTGAAAAATGAAGGGGCAGAGTTATAACCCCTGTCGCCCCCCCCCCCTCTCGCCAATGTCAGAGTATAGCAGACAATTTCCGTTCCAGAACCTATTTGTATGCCAAAGAGAACAGGAAATCTAAATAATGTCTTTGATTTATACCAAACTTTCAAATGTGTAAACAACCTTAATTGTTAAATGAATGTAATCCACAATGATTTAAACCTATGCAGTACCGGAATCATAAATTAAAGAAATAAAAAAACACCTTGTAGATCTGTAAAAATAAGAATAAAACAGATATCTGAAGAAAATAATTGAATTTGTATAATTTGAAAAACAAGAGCGTGAATAAATTTATGCATGTCTAATATTTTAATTGTCAGAAATTTACGTCGACCTGACAGGCAAGAGTTTAAAAGCAGATATCAAAATGTAACAACAGTAAAAATATATATTTAGTAATATTTCGACCCCGTGCCAACTTAATGTTTGATGCCCAAACCGATGGAACAACTGATTTTTATTAAAATTTAGTTTAAGTTCATAGTCCTCTTTTGAAGAGAAATTATTAAACATCTTTTTATAAAAATATTGTGTTAGGCATTTTTCAAAACTGTGTCTTATTTTAATAAAAATAGAGTTTACCTTCAAGATATCGTCCTGTGTATGTTGTACAATTTGTGGCCGCAAAATTCTACACCAAATCAAAACTAAAACTTGAGAGCTCAGTTAAAAACTGCTTTGAGAATCTTGAAATATTATTTGCTCTAATTTAATTAAGATTAAAGTTCTCAAATTTCCTTTTTAAAGAATTTGATTTATAAAATCTGTTTTGTTTTTTCCTGCTGTAAAGTCGACCAGGCTGGGTCTATGAGAAAGGGAACAAGGAAACAGAAAGATAGAGCACTAAAAATCACAATGCTTTAGAAAACAAAATACTGTGGACACTTTGGGGCGCTTTTTAGAGCTGGAATCCAACTTAGCCAAATTCTGAATTTTTTTATTTTTTATACAAAAAAGCAAGTAAACACAATTTTTTAAAATAAATCAAGATGGGTATCACTTAGGGTTTCTAGCAAAAATCTAGCATTTTTGCACAGTGGGGCTGCTAATCAAGACTTTAAGTTTTTTTTCTGAAACTGCACGGCTCAAAACTTGAAACCATGAACCAACCATGAACTATGAAACCAAATTCTTCTTTAGGGATATTTGAAATAAATCGAAATTTAGATTTGGTATTGACAAATCCTACTGTCATGGAGGATTCCAGAATTACCAAAAATTCGTAATTTTGCCATGCTTTTCGTTTTTCAAAGCCATAGACAAAAAAAAATATTTAAATAAAAAGTCAGGTGTTGATTAAGGATTTAAGCTGCATAATGTTTTAAACATTTTCGAATCTCTAAAATTTCTTAGGGTTTAAACTTGATCCGCTAACTTTGTTTATCCAACTTTTTACAAATTTAAAATCATCCCCCCTTTCGCTCTCATGGTGTTCCTAACTAATCCTAAGTTTGATCGCTAAATCCACTAGAAACTTTTCTTCTCATCAGTAAATTAGGTAAACATAGTATAAGGTTATACACACACATTAAGAATAAAAACTAATCATTTTACAAGAATATTTAGTGATCCATCATCCAAGATGAAGATGGGTTTACAAAAAAATTATGCCTTTTAAAGGGGCTGCATGCGTAATTTCAAGTGACCCTTTGTGCAAAATAGCAACGCCCGATCCAAAACAGTACCCTTAAAGTCCAACCAACCAACCAACCAACCAACCAACCAACCAACCAAGACCAACCTGACCAAGGCGTTGCAACACTTCAAAGTTTGGATCTATGTGAACTCATACTTGATCAGTAAAAGATTTGTTAATGATGATTAAATTCGGAAACGTTTAAATCGTGAAAGTTCGATGACGGATAAAAAGATTGATTTTTGAGCAGACATGTGGGGGAGAATGGTTTGAACGGAACACAGTGATTTAAAGGTTGCAAACCTGTTATGAAAAAATCTATAAGCACTTTACCAACTAGACTTAAAACAAGTGCTAAGTTCTAAAATGTTTGTTCATGTCTATTATCTAAATAAAAGGGATGATCGATTTAATATCGCGGTAATCACTGCGTATGCTCCAAATAAATATTTCAAAAAATTACCTGTTACACCTCATTTTCTTGGATATTTTATGCTGAATACGAATTTGAAAACAAATTTTGAAATAATTCAAAATTAAATAAGCTGAGCACAAAAACTCGCTAAAAACACCAAAGAAGTTTGAAAGCAATTTTTGGATTGTTTTTTTTGCTTTACCTTATTAAATTTTTGAAATTTTAAAATGGTTTTTAAATTTCAATTTAGCATAAAATTTCCAAGGAAATGAGTCATGACATGAAATTAATTGAAAATTTAAATTTTTGAGGCCCATGTTATGCAGTAATTTCTTTGATATTAAATCGTCCCATCACAGAATTTATTTTTAGGTAACAATTTTTTTTAAGTTCTAAATGATGGGTGGTTGGCTCAGTTCCAATGTTGATGATGCCTAATAATTAAGGCAATGCGACACTTTAAAGTTGAAACAGTCTTGAAAATTGATGCAGTATGACCCTATGTGGGAATTACTATTTAGTATAACGTGGCCCAAGAGGATTTATTATAGATACCTTTGACATATTTTGGGGGCTTCTTGAATTCACAGAAAACAAATATTTTTCTCAAGTTTTTAAAAGTTACAATAGGCAAGAAAAATGAAAGGAATGACCAAGGATGTTCAATAAAGAAATATTTTGAGACCAAGATCAGAACTTGGACCTGAACTCACTATGTTAGAACTTAAAAGTATATCTTCAATATAGAATTTTAATTAATTACGCTGGTTTTAAATTCTGCACAATTTCAATCAAAGCCAAACCTTATATATTGACTAAAACATGTATTACTTCATCACTGTAAACTATAGATAGAACAAAACATGTATTACTTCATGTCTGTAAACTATAGATAGAACAAAACATGTATTACTTCATCACTGTAAACTATAGATAGAACAAAACATGTATTACTTCATCACTGTAAACTATAGATAGAACAAAACATGTATTACTTCATCACTGTAAACTATAGATAGAACAAAACATGAATTACTTCATCACTGTAAACTATAGATAGAACAAAACATGTATTACTTCATCACTGTAAATTATAGATAGAACAAAACATGTATTACTTCATGTCTGTAAACTATAGATAGAACAAAACGGTCAAAGGAATTGAGTTTTTGTCACAAATTCCAATTTTATAGTACCAAAATCTCAACAACAAAATGATGCATACCTTTCATATTTCAAACTTACATTGTTTGATCCACCAGAATTCATAGTTTGAAATATCTACGGTCTGCGATATTTGGTTTTAAAGAAATTGGGATTTAAAAACCCGAGTTTGTGGCAAAGACTCAATTCCTTTGTGCAACATTAATGGTACCGCTTTATTATCTCGTAGCTCCTCTTGATTTGGTTTAACAAATAAGAAAATATATCTGGTTACATACTGAAATTTTAAGACAATTTTTAAACTTGAAATATACACATTTTAAACTCTTACCTAAATATTGCTAGTAGAACAAAAAATGCTGTCGTGTAAAAAAGTAGAAAATCCTGAAATAATAAAGGAACATTGTAAAAATAAATAATTTGGCTTGATTACTTTTCACATATAAAAAGAGAATATCAAAAATATTCTTAATTTTTAGTTAATCAAGAAAAATAAATCATTCCTTCAACCGTCTCAGTAAAATCATTTTCTTGTCTTCTCCATCCTCTTTGTCCATAGTCATCATTTATCTATAGAAAATAGATTAAAACCAACGAGGTTATAGTGTATAAAGTGATAATGCATGATAATCCTAATTACTAATGTTTAGGCCAGGAACTACACCGAGAGCGTGCTGCATAAGTGATTATTATAGACCACAAACTCCTGTCATTTATTAATAAACCGTCCACCTAACTGTGCGACAGCAGGGAGGGAACCCCCCGACGCCTCCCAGATTCGCTAGGCAGACCGAGCCTCCACTATGCAGACAAAGCCTACGCTATGCAGACCGTGCCTCCGCTATGCAGTAAACGAGCCTACACAATACTGCACAGCTCTTTTTAAAATCTTGGTTTTTATGAGTGATAAAAACTTCTAACAATTTTTTTTGATGTAGTGGCATAAGAATTTTACTTAAGTGTAGATTGTCATGATTAGAAACATATATGGACTCATAAAGTGGTTTATAAGATTTATATTGAAACTTTAAACATTTCTTACACAGAAAGGAAGATATTTGGAGAAATATTTCTGAAGTAAACTTGGTTTGTTTTGTTGTAATCTTTGATTTAAACAATACCTTTGTTGAAAAATGTTAAGATTTAAATAATAAATACAAATTTTTTAAGTTTTAATTTGAACTTCTAAAAAAGGTATCGCTAAAATCAAAGATTACAAAAGATGAAATGAAATTCAATTCAAATTTTTTATCTAAATATTTTTCTTTTTGTTTAAAAAATGTTTAAAGTTTTAGATACCACTTTAATAGTCATAATTAGGCACCATTTATGATAATAAATACTTCTCATCTTTGAAAAGCCTCTGCTACTATGTCAAAAAATTTCAAAAAAATCTTTTATTTAAACTTAAAACACAAGTTTTAAAAAACCTCCTGTATTACACAGGCACATTTTGATGTGTTGCGCATGCTCATTTCTGCAAAGCGGAGGCTTGGTCTGCCTAGCAATTTTGGGAGGCTCGTGTCTGCATAGGGGAGGCTCATGGCGTCCGGGGGTTCCCTCCCTCGCGACAGGCTGACAACATATCATCCCCCTTGACTAAAACTTTCACATTTTTTAACATCTTCGCTTGTTAGCATAAATCCTTGAATTAATATATTTTTGCCATTTTTAAAAATTACAATATTAATCCTTTTAAGTTAAAAATCTGTACATTGTAGCTGATAAATGAACGTTCAATTGACGGTATTTCCTCCTCTTTCTAAAAGATTCTGTTCTTCAATGATCTCAATTTTATTAACGGTGTAAACGGAAGATATCTCAGAAATCATTGACAAAACCAGACGTTAACGATTATTCCATGTAAAGAAAGTCTTTTTTATTTCATTAGTTCCTCGTTATATTTGTTTTTTTTTCTTATGATTTTTTACATTTTTTGATATTGATTTTGATGGTTATTTATATTGTTAGAATTGAAGAGGGTCATACCGGACCGAAATATATTTTCAAAAAAGTAAAAATTGACACCTATTTTTTTACTATCATCAATACCGAATTTTAAATGTATTATAGTAATAACCAGAAATTACAATAATACGTAGAGTCTGAAAATTATCTAAATAATTCAATGTATTTAGTTCAAATCCATGAATCGAAGTTTATATTTCCGCCGAATTTAGATCAAACATTCTATTTCCAATAAATGATATGAAACCAAATACAATCAAAAACAATTCATGAGAAAATTTTGCATTTGTAAATCTATAAATTAAAGCTTATAGAAGAATGAAAAAAATGTTGGCAACAAAAATACATAGTGTCCCATTAAAGTTTAAATTATTATTTTTAAAACTAATATTTGATTGTTTCGCCACATTACTAATTTGCTTTTAGCTAAAATTATCCTATTTTGTGTGA